AATGGAGGGTCAGAACAATTCCTCCTTTAGCATCTACTACCACAGTATCAGATTCTGCTTGCACTGAGTTACAGAATTACACTTTTCCTTGGTTTTAGCTGCACGTACTTGAAAAGATTTCATACCCTGCGTTATCACTAGGACCTCCACAATACGGGCCTCCGTTATGTGAAAGCTTTGCCTTTAGTATTGATCTAAATAGACAATTTTCAAACTTTTCATAAAGCACATGAGAAATCACTAGAAATATTTAACGTTGCTTAAAGAACAACTCGAGATTCTTGAAAAATAAATCCTTTTTGTAACAGAGACCAAAACTGTTTAGTTGTTAATGTAAGCAACAGTAAACCAATCATTAAAATAATGCATTATATTTATTTTTCTAAATCTACACTAAACTTAAGCATAATATATATATAGCTGATTACTTCAAGCACATTCCAGTTGGTTTTGTATTGTTTAGTTTACAGAAAGTAGCCCATAAACAGTGATGTAATCTTCTCTCTGCTCTACAGATAAAGAATCCTATTTGGTTACTCTGGATTTTGCCCATTACGCCCATGCCATTTATTTCTTATGGCATGCCTTTTAAAGAACTTTGCTTACATTTTACGAATTTGATTGTTGAAGCAATCTACCTGCTAAAAATAAGTACATACATATTCACCATCTTCTCCATAAAATTCAAGGAGTTACATGATCATATTTCCTGCTTTCAGGCACAAAAATGAAATGTAGCTATCAATCTCACGGTATACAGAAACAAACTATTATTAGCCTTAATGTTAATTAATATTTAATGTCTTTAAATATGATCAATGTACAACCATTTCCAGCATAGCTGGAAAATGCATCTCAGTAGCAACATCAGCTTATGCATCTCTCCCTCTCCTCACCTTTCATGCGCCAGCTCACCTGTCTGTCGAAAAAGAGCAATCACCTAAGGTTCAGAATAATTTAGACAGAATATGGTTTGCTTGAGTGTTTTTTTGGTTCTTTTGGGTTTTTTTTTTCCTTTTCTTTTTCTTTTCTTTCACACCTGGATCACTTCTAGTTCAGTTCACCATGCGGACCTACACTCTGTTTACAGGGCATAACCAAAGGACTGCTTAAGCTGGCAATGCCACAAGGAAGAATGGTCAGGCAGCTGCACCCTCTGTTCACCCTGCAAGGAAAAGGCACCTGATGATCATACCTAGTGCTTCATCCTCTCCTGGCTCCAGGGGAAGTATACCTTGAACAGCATTAAACTGTAACAACACTTCCCACCTCTGGGCCAGACATCTAACCTGGATGGATGTACACTTTGATTTAAAGCATTCATTTTAAGTATTACTTAAAGTAAATTTTTCTTTATTTTAAATTACACACCTTTAAAGTCAGTCATAAAACCAAAAAGCCTTGCTTTTTAGCTCAATTTCCTAAAAACATGCTAAATACCTCACTCAAGAATTTAAGAAAACTAACTTTATTCTTAAAAATTTACTAAGGTAATGGAGTTTTAGTGAAATTAATTAAATGCCCAAAATGGTCAGCTTATGTCCCTTGGCATCTCAGAAGTGGTAGATATTTTCTTAAAAGAAAGAGGCTCTGAATCAGCTATTTACTTTCATTCAGTACATTCAACTTACTTGGATACAAAGCATTCTATTAGAACTGCAGTAGAGGTTTCTGTTATCTAATTTAATTTTTTATATTCTTAATTCAAGTGCTTAGCAGTGTATTTACTCAGAACTGATGATAACGATGTACTGATTTAATACAGGCTTTTAACTATTTTAACGATAGTAAATTTAGCCATAACAGTTTGCTGAGACTTCAAATTAAATATACTGTTTAAATCAGAGAACTCTTAAAAAGTATTTCTCTATTTTGGACACGACAGTCCAAATACCTTTGCATAACTAAGCAGATGAAATAACAAGCAACTTCAATCACAATTCAAAATATATCACTGTCCAAAACAGACACACACAAAGATACTAGGAAATGTTTGGGCTTCTCTACCTTACTAGTAAGGTGGCAGCTACGGAAGAGACCAGGCAAACTAGAAAAGTCAGTAAAGAACAAGTTAAAAAAAAAAAGTTTATTTTCCAGAGGAAAAAAAACCTCCTAAGTGAAAAAAAAACTATTGCCTACTATTTGCTTCATCTATTGTTCAAGGAAATTGTACTTTAGGGAATAGGCATAAACTGTGTAACAAAGGAAAAACACTTATCATTGAAGAGGAACACTCAACAAGTTTGTGAATTCCGCTTAACTTCTAGCTTCCTTGTAGTAATCGGAAGCCACAACCAGAAGTGAAATAAGCAGGAAGTCTGATGAGCGAAAGGAAGCCACATGATGAAAGAACATACTGACAACTAGTACAGTACTGCCAATTGCCTCAGAGGTTAAGCCAGGTTGTTTAAGGTTTGCTCGTAAGAACAGACCTCAAAATCTTTATTAGATTTGTCAAAAGCAGTACCTCAAAAAAGTGAGCAGAAGGATGAAACACATTTCTTTAAAGCTCATCCTAGCTGCACCTACTTTGAGAACACGAACAATAAGAAGCACGCAGCAAGTCTCAAGGATGGCCTACCCGAGCATAATACCTAACAGCATCCTTACCCACCCCACATTGCATTCGAAGCCATGAAACTGCAAGTCTTTCATAGTACTTCAAGCTGGAGCCTGCTAAGAGTCCTTAAATTAGAGACCAAGTCTTTGGCTCGCTGAAGTCACCACAAAAAACTGTGACCGTGGGGAAATTGTGCAGTAGGTCAGGAAAGAGAGCTTTCTACTCTGAGAGATAAGTCTCCGCCCTGATGAGTTATTTCCTAATCCCCATTTATTTCTAAATCACATGCCTTATCAACACTTTCAGTAAGTTGTCTGCAAGAAGTTTTAGGCAGGGTTCCCTGAAAGCCTGGAGGTGGGGTGGGGATTCAGAAAGGAGATACCACCGATGTAAGGATAGGTCCTATCAACAACAAACAAACTACAGCTAAAAGCATTACTGTATAATGCACAGAACCCTCAGCAATTTTAAACCATTGCAATTTCTACACTCCCAGATAGAGCTTGTTAGGAACCAAAAAGGAAGACCAAATCTAACAATCATCTTGTCAGTCCAAAAAATCACAGCATGAAGGCACCTGACATTTTTAAAAATTCAGTGAGAAAAAACACTGAAGAGTATCTAGAGCAGTTTTGTCCTGCTGAGAAAGGGAAATATTGCAATATGAAGGGCAGTAACAGGAACCGAGTCCATTCCTTGTGTGACACAACATGCAGTTGATAATGCTGTGGAAACATACAGAGACAAAAAGCTTGCATTTCGCTGTTTACTAGCATTAAAGTTGCAGTGCTTATGGTGTAATTGCTGTGGTCACTACTTGAGCAGCGCACAGCTCCTACTGCAAAAATACACAGAACTGATGCTTTTACATTTCCGCTGGAAAATTGTCCCTCAAATTTCAGTTTTCAAATAAAATATGCACTGCATGCAGCTACCACATGCATTTAAAAAAGCACACTTCACCAGTTTGGCTGTTTAAAAAAAAAAATAATCCCTGGACACGGCAGATATTTCAAAGTATTCCATATCACAGGTAAATTTACAAGTGCAAGCAACATCTGACGAGCAGCATTAAATAAATGCATTGATATGATGAGTTTGGTAGCATTGATGCAAACTAACATCGACACTAGTTTCGGTAAGTCAAAAATCAATTTTAAGCCAAACCAGTCCATCTCCCGTATGACAACAGAGCAGATAAACTGACAGAAAGCATTTGGCGAACTCAGAGGAAGGAGAAAATTCTCTCACAGCTTTCCTATCTCCAGCTAGACTTGCCAACTTCTAGCGTTCGTAAGTACAATCCTACTCATCTAGATACACCAGACTAAATTACTGCTATACTTATTAAATCCTACCAATGCGCATGGCACACTAACAGTCCTCCAGCATAACAGTCTTCAACCTCAGTAAAGCAATCCTGAGTATAAACATTTGTACAAAGTCATTACAAGCCTATGTATACACATCCTTTGGTTTACTAAAACATCTGTTTACGCTCTCTTCAAGATGCCAGTAGTAGGTAAACTGTGTAATAATCTGTACATGTAGAAGCATGCAGTAATATGGCAAAGTAACAATCATTGAAGAGCAAATTAATTTTTTACTCTGTTAAAAAATATTTTACACTAACACAACTGAGGAGGAAAAAAAAAAAAAAAAAGATGGTCATGATCAAGAAGAGAAGAAAAATCCACAATTCTTCTCCTCCTCTTACCTCTGCATATAAAACCTGAAAAAATAAGAATTAGGGCCTCCAAGAGCCGTAGCTACCAGTCACCACAAATTTGAAATTCAAAATGCTTCAACTCTTTCAGTGAACTCAATCAGCTGGCAGAAAAGAAAAAAAAAAAGGTCTGATAATGCTAGTATCTTTAGCTCCATTTTACTGGCCCCAGTTGTGCCTAGCAGCACTTTCTTTCTGCTCTCCTGAAGAGAAGGATGGACTGGATGACAAGCCTTCCATTCCTCTCACTTTCGGACAAGTAGCATGTGGTAGATACCTCGATCCTTTCTGACCACGCTGGTCTGCACCAAGAAATAATTACAGATGTACAAAAATAAGCATAGAAAGACCAGAAACTTTTATTGCTTAATTTTATGCTAAGAAGTATGTCTATGTTAACCGTTCCCACTAAGTTTAAAGTTGATGCAGAACCAGCTGGTACGCTGTTACCAATGTCATACCACCCAAAGCTGGTCAAGTTGAAGATCACGCCAGGTAAAAAACAAGCATCAGCTTAAACGCAGATGTTTGAGAAGCACAGGCAACACACAGAAAAGCACTGCAGCCTACACAGGCAACAAAATCAGTTTCACTTTGAGATTACTCGTACCGTAACATTTGTGGTTAGATATAAACAAAGAAAATGCCATTTAAAACTAACTTCCTCTGCCGCTCGCATGCACGCAAGTGTTCTTCAGAGGCGTCCAGGCTTACAGTCCACTGAATTCCCCGAACGTAGGCGCCAAGCCACGTTCAATCTCCCAGCAAAGAGACGGTGAAGCAGAGGCAATCCTCTCTGATGCGTTTCTACCCCGTGAGCCATCCCATTCCCCCTCAGAGCGAAGTCAGCCACGGGGGAGTTGCCAGA